CCAGGAGGCACCGGAAAGGGAGAGGCGGTTGGATTCGCCGCTCCTCTCGCTGGATCTCACCTTCCACCTCCTCCGAGAAACCTTGGCAATGGCCGAGGCCAAGAAGTTAGCGGAGCAAGCTCGCATCAACAGGAAACTAATGGACATGGCTGGGAAATGAAACGGTGCGTTTGGCCAAAAAGATTCTGCATTTAGCACAAAAATCAAAAATAAAAATACAGTATTCTGCACCATAGCGTGGCTCTGATACCATTTGTTTATTTTTATATAGCTTGAAACGTAGAGGATGTCCAGCGAGAGCGCCTGTCCCCTAAATTAGCATGCACAAAGTGTATTCATGCACAGCAATAGCAACAAAATGGTATTTGCATTGTCTACTTTTAGTTTCCATTTCTAGGTGTCTTTAAAGGTGTTTAAAACCCAGGAGGAAACGTTTTGAAGAAGCAGATAGAAGTCACCCAATTGACTTCGTTGTGGTCTGAACCAAAGAGAATGCCATTTTCTTGAGTGGGTAAGAGAAAACATGTAAGCTCTTTGAATCAACTTTTCCTTGTAAATGTTTCAGTAATAAAACATCCTTACAATCCTTGGTCAATTCTGCTGTGTAAGAGAATGTTCAATAGTTATATTTTTAATAAATGCTGCAAAGGTAATCATGACTTTATTTTTCCTCTTCAGTGATTTTTCCTGTTCAGCTACTGGCTTCCTCCAAACTGATTTAAACACAAGAAAAAACAAAATCCCTTGCATTTTTTCCTACTACAAATACAAACATAAGTCAATGGCTTACACAGATCCTGGAATCTCCCTGGGCTCATCTCTGTATCTCAGATTACTCCTCTGAGATTGAGTTAAATAATTTGAGAAGTTGCTCCCAGCTCTAAGACTTGTTAATTCAATACATGGAAGATCAATTCATAATGGAAATAACATTTAACCCTGATTAACTATAAGATGTAAACTAATTGGGGAGAATTGGGAAGGAGGAAAAGAGAAAGGTTGAGGAAGGGCATTTTTCCAAACTATAGGGCCAAATGCTGCATTTTTTTTCCTATGAGAAAGTTTCGTACATCATTCAGCTATTATTTTGCTACCATAAAATATTTTTTCTAAGCTATTTTCCAATGCCTACTTCTCACAGGAGAAACTTGATAGCCTCTCCACTTAAAACAACTAAATTTAGTTGCTATAAAATGGCACTTGAGAAAATTTTTATAAAGAATATTTTGACTTTAATAACTCCACAAATAGCCTCCTCATTTATGTCTACTCCAACCCTAATCACTGTAATTCTTAGGAATATAAACTATCTCTATTCACTTCTAAATTCAAACAACATGTCTAATTGGTTTTACAGTGCATTCACCTTTGGTAGTTTAGTTACAACTTTAAAAATTCAATTGAATGTTTAATACCTCAAAATTAATTTGGATATATGAAAATGCTTCTTCCCTTGGGACTCTTTAAATACACTTGACTAATGGATTAATAAGATAAAATGAAACACTGAATAAATCATTATAAGACTAAGTTGTTAAAAACAGCATTTATTTAAGAGTTCATACAGAGTAAAGCTGTACTTATGTTCTGAAGGAGGCATTATGGTGGGACAAATAAAACATGATTTAAATATATATACATATATAATGTATTGTGTATGTATATATATTTAAACACATGCAGCTGTATCTCAGAGGATACATGAGAAAGTAGACAGTTCCTGTTGAAAAGTTTTTTATTTTTTCAATTAAAGTGCCTGCTATCTGCATATTTAAAAAACTGAGATTAGAAAATGTCACAGGAAATGTCCTAGCCCTTTAGACTTCTGGACTATGAAAGTGTCACCAGAGCCAAAGAACATTTCTAGATATACATCCAGCGACATATAGTACAGAAAAGAGGAAACCTTTGTGAAACATTACATACCTTTGGTCAATGATTTACCCTTTGTCCACATGTTGATAAATCAGTCACTTCTGAATTAATACTGAATTTCACTGACCATCCACATTGTTAATAAGGAAAGAGAATAAGAGCTACTATGATAGAATAACAAAAGCTAGTGCTTATCAGAGACGAGAGTGTAGTGCCCACTTTTTCCAACACTTACCACTTGTTACTGACACGCACTCACACATACCACACTTACACATCCTTCATGTTTCCCACACAATAAAAGATTTGCATAAGATCAAGTTTCTTTTTTTCCAGTGCTTTCTGCAACTGTTTCCCCTTAATACATTAGATAAATCATCTGGAATTAAAGATTTTATTTTTTTGCAGAAATCTTGTTCAGAGGTCCCTTTTATCATCTGCATCGTATTAATTTCATCTAGGTTCCCTGCTGCCTGTATGAGTTTCAGCCAGGCAGACGGGGGCAGCAGTTGGAATGAACATCATTCATTCAGGGAGTTCAACCATGAAAAAGAGAAGACATGGCGAGCTGGCTCAGAATCAGCTCCAGTCCCACTCCCTGAAGCTGCAGCTTGTCCCTGGAGGGAAGGGTCCTCAAATCCAGTCTGCAACAGAAGAAAATCTGAGTCAGAGGAAGAAGAGGCTAGTTCTTTTGGGGATGGTCCAGCCACTTTTCTACTGGGGAGAAAGGATCATCATAATAATAATTATATAGGACATAATTATTATTAGGGATGGGAAGCAAGCTCAGGTTATCTTGACTATGGTCAAGAGCCATGAAAGTAATTAACACTCATGATCTAAAAAGGGGCAACAGTAATGCATGCAGTGGGAAGTTCTTGGGAAAGAGTTCAGGCTATTTTACTTTTTTTTTTTAAAAAAAAGGCCACTTGTACATTATTTACTGAAATGAAAGTTGCCTTGAAACTAATGGGAATTTGGATTTAGAAAAGTGTTCAAAATAAAGAAAATCCTGTTTTAAATGACATTGCTACATCACATGACATGGTAGGACATATTACTATAATGTCTCCACTGCTAAAGTAAGAATTTCCACTAGGTTGTGAATATATATAGTATAATTTTTGTTAAAAATGCAGTCTTAGTTTTGAGCAAATCATGAATGAAAGGACTTTTTTAAGGCCATAAATCTAATAGCATCAATATTTCTAAAAAGGTACCTGTCTTTTATATAGATACCACTATAAAAGACATTTATCTTTTATAGATACCTGACAAATACAAGTTGTAATTTTGAAGTAGTTGTTCAATCTCATCTATAAATGAAATTTAGGTATTTATGTCGTTTTGAGTTTAAAATATAACTTGGTAAAATGAGGGACAATTATAAAGAAGTCCTGTTGAGATGCAATTTGAGGTATAAACTCAAACTCCTTACATATAAAGGGACCATGACAAACACAGGTCTTCCTAGGAGAACTACCAAAGACAGGCTGACACATTCTGATGACTTAGATTATCCCACTGGATTAGAATGCCACTGATTTCAAAGCAATGAGGTAGGCACATGCATTCAATCAGGTGCTCGGGTGATTTTATGAAGCTGCTAAATGAATGAATACCTGGCACAAGCAAAGCAGAACTTGGATATTGGATACATATGTAGTTTCGTTGCCACTCAAAATACTTTCCAGTGAAAAATGAATGTTTGTCCTGCACTTTACCTGATTTTACCCTAAATACATGTTTTGGGGTAGTGTTTCAAGTTCAATAAAATTATCCCAAGTCCTTATGGCTTTGGGATTATCTCTCCCAAAACCATGTTGCTCCCTAATATGATGAAATCATATTAGCCACAGTAGAATAAAACTGAAACATGCGGTTTTCTACGAAGGAACAGTTGAGACATCAAGTGCAATTGGGCTTTTACAAAAAGGCTGCTGTTGGATTCTGCTGGTAATGGGTTGGCTAACTCAATGTTCTTGGAGGTAGAATGAACATCATCTTGACAGAATCCTGTGCCTATTTGTGCACATCAAATTCCTCTCCTCCCCACCATAGTCACCTTACTCTCACAAATCCTAAAAAAAGAAACAAGTAATCTGGGCATATCACTGATCTGTAAAATACTTTTTTCTAACCATTTTATGAGTGGAGAGTGAAGTATGCCTAGAGGAACAGACCATTGGGTCCATTTTGTAGCCTTTTTTCCTTGAAGACAATTTCTAACCTAGAAAAACTACCCTGACAGCTGTTTTAAAATATCTAGTTGGGTCAGGTATTCTCTGCAGAGGGATATAGTCTTCGTGCAGCAACTGGTTGCTAACAAACTATTTGGGACTGCTTTTGGAATTTCTCTATATTTCTGTGCTTTTCTGTACCCAAGTTTAAAATCTATCTCTCATTTTAAATGTTTTAGTTACTAATACTCTACAGCCTTCAAAACTTGATATTAAACAGTTTGGGTTTGCTGCTTTCACACCCTCATGTTCTCAGTCAGTTATTAGATTTTCCTCCAGACAATATGTACCTTATCTTTCAGATAAGCTATCTTTCAGGGAAGAAAGGCCAGTGCCCGAGTGGGGGCCAAGAGCAGAGGTTATCCAGAGTATCTTTAGGTGAAAAATATTTTTAAAATCAGGGGCAAGGATATGGAGAAAAAGAAACTCTTTTGCTGTTGGTGGGAATGTAAAATGGTGTAGCTGTGTGTGGAAAATAGTATGGTGGTTCCTCAAAAAATTAAACATGGAATGACCATATCAGCCAGCAATTCCATTTTTGGTTATATGCTCAAAAGAAATGAAAGCAGAGACTCACAGATATTTGTACACTCATGGTTACAGCAGCCCTATTCACAGTAGTTAAGAGGTAGAAGCAACCCAAGTGTCCATCACTGGATGAATAAACAAAAGGTGGCATATACATGTAATGGAATATTACTCAGCCTTAAAAAGAAAGGAAATTCTGACAAATGCAACGTGGACGAACCTTGAGGACATTATGATAAATGAAATAAGCCCATCAGAAAAAGGCAAATACTGTATAATTCCACTTGTATGAGGTATTTAAAGTAGTCAAACTCATAGAAACAGAAAGTAGAGTTGTGATTGCCAGTGGCTGGGGTAGCGGGCACTGGGGAGTTCTTTCCTGGGTACAGAGTTGCAGTTTTGCAGCGTGAGGAAGTTCTGGGGATTGGCTGCGCAACAATGCGAATGCACTTAACAACACTGAACTGGCATTTAGAAATTGTTAAGATGGTAATTTTTATGTTACGCATTTTTTTACCACAATTAATTTTTTTAAAAATTAGGAGACGTCACATTAAAACCTGGATTTGTAGGTTCCCTTGACAAAACGGAAATGTAACAACCCAGAAAGAACCTGTACGGCGCGCTAAGCAGTGCTGCCCCTCAGACTGCGTGCGCTCTCTCCTGCTGTCCGCAGGACCAGTCCTCCCTTTCGCCTCCTCATGCGAGGCTGGTTTCAGTGGCTACTTATCATTGTGCTTGTACAGTTGCTATGCTCAGAGCAGAGTTAAGAGGAAAGCAAACTGTATCTTGTATTTATGCTTCTATCAACATTTTCTTTGACTTGACCTGCTTTCTCATTAATGTTACCTTCTTAGTCTCCAAGGGCATACCAGCTAGTTACTCTTAACAAAAGGCCAGTTTTTAGTAGGAAGGTGTCAAAGGAAAGAGAATAAAATGCTCAGTGGAATATTTAGCTTGATTTTTATGCTAAATGTGATGATTTTTTTAAAAAAACAACATGCTTCTTTTGACAAGATTCTTGAAAATCAAAGCATGAAACTGCCTTCAGTGTTCAATTAGGCTCCTAGCATAGGGGATATAACTGGGTGCAGTTTGGTGAACATGTTCTTGCTTTGGCTTGGGGGCAGTACCTGTAGCCCCTTTTACCTGAATGGATCTTGCACCACATACTCCACTGACTGAACATGTCTGGGTAGCCACATTTAGGAGGGGAGTTGTTATTATTTTTTGGCTGACCCAAAGTAAAAGAGTGAGCTCTGCCAGGTCATTTTATCAGTAACCAGTGCCTTCAGGCTACCTCTAAGATTTTTAGGGTTCCATGAAGTGCCAGCCTCAGCCTTTCCCCAAATGATCATCCCCCTACATCACCCATGATCCTGATCCATTGAAACTTATGTCTTATGTCCCATTCCCTCAGGCTTATCCAAGTGATAGTAACTGATGTGATGAACTGAACTGCAAGTAATATATTAATGGGTGACAATGGCTTGATGTTTACTCCTGCAAGATAACATTTTGCCTAGAAATGTCCATGTCTTATTCTGAGGGAACACTGTTGTGGACATGTTAGCCACTATGCCAGGCCATTGATGGGATGCTAGGGACAGTGAGGAAATTTGTGTCTAGGTCCCCACACTTGGGCCTCCATCTCCTCTCTGCTGCTGTGTCAATCACAAATGCAACTCGACAGCAGGATCTGGTGACCACTGCAATGTGAAATGCCAGTCTTTCTAGGCCTATTCAGAAGAACGCTTGCCTGTCTATAACAAAATACATTACCGTAGAGGAATTTGGATAGGAGGGGTAAGGCTAGACTTGAGGCTGCTGAGTGGGCAAGCACCTGTGTCTACCCTGCACCTGCTAGGCTGGGTCAGAGAATCAAAGCCAGATGCTGGAAACAGGTGTGAGTAGGAATGCTGAGGTCATGTTAAGAATGTTTATTCAGAAAGACTAAACCCAAGCATTGGCCTGCCCCACTACTTAGCATTCCTGAACCTCAGGCCTTTGGATAGCTTACGCATTATGGATTCTGGACTGGAAATGAGAGTACAGCCAAGAGCCTAGGCCAGTCATTATGCCTGAGAAGTAACTGAGGCAGATCTGTGACTCACAGGCAAGGGTCTAAGCCCTGGAAAATGTCAGGCAGGTCTGCCATCGTGGGCATTTCTCTCACAGGAATGCAGACATTTCTGCTTAGCAGCGGAGCAACCAAGATACGTTAGGAATGAAGCAAAGAACCGTGAAAATATAGCACGCTCTCCATGAAAGCTAGAGGAAGAAGGAAATAAGTACATCCCCTACCCCCCACCCCCACCAAAGGAGCCCAAAGGAGCTCTGGAAGGAAAACACTAAGAAGCATTTTTTTCTTGGGAGGATTTTCAGCTATACACAGAGTGATTGAAGGAATGGGTGAAGGGAGTTGATTTGGGGGCTCTGTTGCCATTAGCTGCTTCCTTCTTGCTAAGGGAAGATCTGAAACCAGAGTAATTTCCTTAGGCCTATGAAACAAGAAGAAATTAAGCTCGCTCACTTTTTCTTAACCCGGAAGATGTACGGTGTATTCTGCTTGTTTTGTTTCAAGCATGGTGTCTAGGACTTGATGGGGTCAGGCGGGGAGCAGGAAGAAGGTAAAACGGGTGTGTCACAGCCTAGCAAAAACTTAAAGCCAGCTGTTCTCTCAGCTATGGACCTGGCGATTGTGTGTCCAGTATAGAGTGTGCGTGTGCTCACCATTTCTGAAAGGAGAGCTGAATCACAAAGAACTGCTAATCAGATCATTGATTCTTCAGTCAAGGGCTTCTTTGCCTTATGTTAGACAAATAGGCCAGACAGGTTCTCAAGAGCTATGGGAGGGTGAAATTATTATACCCAGT